CACCTCTATAGTCTGTTTGCAGTGAAAACGTACCGATGAATGTCACTTTAAACATAAAAATAAATCAAATAAAGGGAAATTAAGATTGCGAATCCTCATAATTTGACCTTGGTAAATGAACATTTAAATCTCAGAATTTTATTCAACTTAGGATAAAAGTTGTTTAACAAACGATCATAGTTTCAAATCGCTATTATTGGTTTGTATTACAAGGGGGGTAAGCGCAGTAGTTGGAACAGTAAAACAAATGCACGTGCGGTTCGTGATGAGCGTTAACTTAGACCAACCCTACATGTTCTCGGTGTTTCATTTAATGTGCATATCCCCTTGTAATAAAAACCAATAATAGAGACTTGAAACTATGATCGTTTGCAAACAGACTATAAACACCGATGAAATGAAACAACATTGGTAATGAAACATTTACAACGCTGTTCTTCGTTGGCAGGTTTCAATTATAGTTTAAATGCATTGATAATGATTTGTTTTAGTTACGATATGGCTGGATGTCTTCACCCTATATGCCTTCAACCCCGCATTCTTTCACCCTGATGTCTTCACCACCCTGAATGTCTTCATCCTGGAATTTGACTTTTGGACGTGACTTTAACTTTTAACTCGCTCACTCACCCCTAAATACCTATCAACAAGAATATAGTCAGCATTAGTATTGCCAGGTGTGGCCAATACTGAGCTTTCAATAGAATAACGGCGGTTATGTCACACTTGTGTCACCCGTGAAGATCCGGGTTAGAATTGATCTTCAGCAACGTGTAAGAGGCCACTAAAGGGATCGGTGGTCAGGCTCGCTGAATTGGTTGACACATGTATATCCCAATTGCGTTGTTCGATGCTTGTGCTGTTGATCACTGGATCGTCTAGTCCAGACTCGATTATTTACAGACCGCCGCCATATAGCTGGACTATTGCTGAGTGCGGCGTTAAACAACAACCAAACCATACCCACTTCTGTATTTTTTAACAGTGCAGGAATACTTCACTGTACAGCACAGTCAGTTACTGTTTGACACTCGCCGTAAGGATTAATCGTTGTGCACTATTTCACAATATTGTCTGTATAGTGCATACAGAACTACTCTTAACTTAGAACCGTGTCAATGTCCCAGTGTGAGCTGTCAGTTGCCGACGCGAGGATATTTACATACATCGAAAAAAGAGTCGGCGAGAGAACCCACCCTTGTCGTAAACCTGTCTGGCACCAGAGTTAGCTCAAACACACTAATATCGCTGTCTGTGACTCGGTACATGAGACCGTGTGCTTTACATGGGTTGATGGCAGAGGGCGCTAGCAAGGTCAAAACAGACATTAACGTTATGTACACTAATAACGATGCGCCTCTGATTAGGTGAAAAATACAAAAACAACATAGAATTAGATTAATAACCCGAATGCGTAAAGGATAGGCAATGTGTTTTTATTTTATCAAATTTGCATAATTGAAGTAATTGAATAGCGAACAATGCTAGGACATTGGCCCTGTGGTTAGGTGAAATTAGTTATCGCTATCCTCTCTCTGTCTATCTGTTGCTCTCCTCCTCCCCTCCCTCCCTCCCCCTCTCTCTGTCACCCCTCCATCTCTCTCTCTTCTCTGTCTCTCACCCTCCCTCCTCTCCCTCCCCCTCCCTCTCTCTCTGCCACCCTCCCATCTCTCTCTCTGTCTCTCTCTCACCGCCTCCGTGGTGTAGTGGTTAGAGCGTCCGCCAATAGAGCGGAAGGTCGCGGGTTCGATCCCCGACCGCGTCATACCAAAAGACGTTAAACAATGGTACTTGTTGGTCCCTGTCTGGCGCTCGGCATTAATGGGTACAACAAGGATTGGTCGGCTCGGAGTCAGTATAATGTGTCTGAGTGGGGTATTCATGCTTCACTGCTGCATGGTATCTCAGTGGGCTAGCACTATACAACCAGCTTAAGTCTGGGGTAGTACAAACAGCCGTATATACACATACACACGCATGCACGTCGTCATAAGAGCGAAATATTCTCAAGCACGACGTAAAACCCAATTTCACCTCACCTCACTCTGTCTGTGTCTCTCTCTCTCTCTCTCTCTCTCTCTCTCTCTCTCTCTCTCTCTCTCTCTCTCTCTCTCTCTCTCTCTCTCTCTCTCTCTCTCTCTCTCTCTCTCTCTCTCTCTCTCTCTCTCTCTCTCTCTCTCTCTCTCTCTCTCTCTCTCTCTCTAGACAAACTGCAGTGACCTTTTCTTTTCAACATACATCGCCTAGCAAGTCAAACAACACTCACTACAGTCTGGAAGGAAATTCCCTAACCTTCAAACAGAAATATCTAATCTGATATTTCATCAGTCTGTCAGAGACAATTCCACGCTCCTTTCACCACAATAAATAGGTCAATGGCATTTTCTGAAGCACTGAATTATAAGTAAAGTTATAATTTGGCTTAATAATTTCCAAAAAAATAATAATGGGTTTTGTTGCACTGATTCTTAAACCAAAAACTGAAAAAAGTGTGCTTGAGAATTAGTCCAAACCAACCGGAATCGACACTAGTCCGTCCTAAAGCTCATTAGGAAAAGTGTTATTTTATACACAAAAAAATAGAAACATACGTGTTTCGGGGTCACTGCAGTGACCGCTGTAACGACTGCAGCGTCACGTGCGCGGGTGTGACCTTTCACCTCTTAAATATGACCATGAAGAATCTCTAGACATATACAGGGTAAATTTCCACCACTCGACCATAAGGCCTTATCTTGCCGAACCTACTCTTTCTTCCTATCATCGTGATGTCTGTGAATATTGTCTTCGGTCAGAAATTAACATACTCTACGGTCACATCTAAACATGTGTTGTTTCCTGAAGGCTAGAACACGTTTACCGCGAATGACTGGCTTCATTATTGAATTTCAGCATTCCAATCACATAATTCTCGAAGCTAATTTGTCATTTACGTCTATTAGTGAGTGAGTTTTGTTTTACGTTGCTTTTGGCAATATTCCAGCAATATCACAGCGGGGGACACCAGAAATGGGCTTCACACATTGTACCTATGTGGGGAATCGAACTCGGGTCTTTGGCGTGGCGAGCGAACGCTTTAACCACTAGGCTACCCCACCGCCCTTACATCCATTAGGGATTTCTTCGCCAGATAACCGAGGGTTGATTTTCTCTTATAATGATCTCTAATATTTTAACTTTACGTTTTAACGGACATTAGGTATTTTTTAGGTAAAATGTTAATCTTACAAGAGGAGACAGGGTGGCGGCTAAAGGTAACGACGAAGTCCTGGGATCGATTCCCCACATGAACACAGTAGTGAATCCCATGTTTCGTGGAACCATATTGGTACTGAGTGATTGAGTTTAGTTTTAGGCCGCGTTTAGCAACATTCCAGTAATATCATGGCGGTGTACACCAGAAATGGGCTTCACACATGTACCCATGTAGAGAATCTAACCCGGGTCTTCGACGTGGCGAGCGAACTCTTAAACCACTGGGCTACCCCTTCGCCCCCGTGGTGTTGATGTAAAACTGATACTGATGATGTGTACAATGGACCACTCACTGACAGAAGAATATAATAATTGATCAAAATATACATGACAAATTCGAACTGAATACGCCTGTCCTCATAGCCCCACTGCAAGACTTCCTGGTACACGGTCCCGCAGTTCGTTATGCAGAGTTATCCTCCTGAGCGGTCACAGGATCCGCTGATTATTTCCAATCAATTCTACACCAATCATGATTCACGACACTTTGGGCTTTGACTTCAAACTGACAAGCCTGAGGCAGCTGAAATAATGTTGAAAGCGGCGTACACTCACTCACCTAAACAATCAATCACTCCGTGGCCAAACCGAAATTAACCCCCTGCCCCTTATCCGAAAAAAAGAACGCCATCCCATCCCAAATCATTCCGAAGTACCCTCACCCCCCTCACCCTTCCCCCAAATCCTCCATTAATTCCCTAACTTACGCAAAACCTGTACACAAAGACATCAAGAGACCACTGATAAGATACCAACTATTCAGTAACCACCACAATCCCCGTTATCTCACGTGCTACATCTGCAACACCTCATCATGTCAGGCCAAAATTAATCGAGACACTAAACACAGTCGACAACATAAGATATGCAATGAAAATGCTTGATAATGCGTGATAATCTGCAACTGTTTTCATAACGAGTGTTCACAGAAGGAATCACATGGTCAGTAATGAAAACAGCCAAGGGTACATTCCATCACTGTCCTACACCTTAATCGTCTGAAAAAAATTGATTTAAACTACTAAAATACGTTTCTAAGATGAATGTACTCCATCTTTGATATCTGTATTCCAAAACGATCGCAGTAGGTATTTCCATGGAACAAATAATCCGAGTGCTTTGATTCACATGACAATGGTTTCCATGCTGCAGGCCGATTTGCACGCCGACACGACGTATGCCTATACTGGGAGACGTAGAGGGTCAGACTGTAGTCACGCGCAAGGTCGTTACCATGGCAACTACCATGATCACACCGCTGGAGGGTCGGGGTCCAATACCGTTTGCCACGATGTCATAATTCAACGTCTGGCGTAGACAAATTACAAAACGACAAATATCAAAATATGAATTATACTCGTTACAGGACAAAGATGAGCCAGACAAGCATTCAATCCTTTTGATAATAACAATGAGTATTAATAAAGCGCTATATCCATCAGGATAGAACGTATTTCGTGATTTTGAAAACATTTTTGCTGAACCTAATCTTGTTCTTGACATCAAGGGGCGGTGACGTAGCCTAGTACGTGGTTAAAGCGAGCCCTTGAAAAAGGTCTAAATCAAATAAACCCGACCGTTCGCTGTGGAGAACAACGTTCATGAACAATCTTGTAACCATATCTTCAGAAAGCCTTGACACACAACGGAGTGTTCATAGACAGAACGCCTCTCCAAAACGCAACAACTCGGAATGGAAGTTTACCCTGAAAGGGTGGGAGGTCCCAAAGCACGGCCAATGTCACATCCGGGCACTACAGATAGTGAGATTGTGTATAAATACGCCGACAGCGCGTGATAAGGCAGATCATTCCTCGGATCACTGACGGAACATACATCGTGAGTATATCACAGATATTGGACATCTTTCTGTCCATGCTTAACAATGCGTGAATTTAAATGTTATTCAATATGGTGAATGATTTTAAAGTAGAATAATGTTAATCTTTCCTAATGATTCCTGTGAATTACGTACATATCGTCATAGTCTTCACAATATTCGGTTCTTCGTGATATTCGCTTATAGTAATTCACTCCTGCAATTTTTATTCGTTTATGCTATGGTATCCGCGGTTAGTATGCATGGTATTGGCTTATGCAGGTCATAATCGCTTATACTATATACATGGCATTCGCTGTAATGGTCCATGATGTTAACTGGAGCCAACTACATCGGAAAGCAATTCTGAGTTGGTGCTGAACGATGCTGGGCAAGATAGAGCATACATCAGTGTTGGATGTATGAAAATGAACGAGACAAGAAATGATGTACTTGTTTCTCTCATCCTTGTAGTTTGGGAAGACTAGGGTAGGGTAGGGTGCGAATGGGTACTTCGTAAGGATGGGAAAGCCACATTAACTTGGCTGCACGAGTTGTATACTCCCCAGGGAGTTGAGATTGATATTCAATGATCGAGGGAAACAAAGCGCTTTGAGTATGCTTGTAGACGGGATGGCCTATAGCGCTATATAAATACCCATAAAATATAATTGGGTAGGATAGGGTACGGTAGAGTACGGCACTGTACGGTACGGTACTGTTTATAATATCGTTCAAATGAAATGTCGAGGATACAACAGCGAACATAGTAAGACTACAAACGAGTTGTGCTTCATTATCCCATAAATATATAGAAGGTATGACGTTTAGTAGTGCAACTGCTATTATTTTCGCTTCATTGCCTATGCGCGCATTGTATTGTTGATGTTTACAGGACCATGAAGCTGTCGTAATTAATTTACAGTCATATTTTCATGTTGGTTTCTGAATAATGTAAGGTGTAGAATAGTAACTACCATCTGGGGCTAGCGGGCCCAGGGTCCCGATCCACATAACGTTCGTAGCGCTACGATAGTAACTACGATCTGGGCCCGGTTTCACAAAGCTATCGTAGCGCTAGCCTATGATAAACTATAGAGTTACGACACGTCGGGACCCTGGAGCTAGAACTAGGTGTTATTCTAAATAATCCTTAAATATTGCCGTTATATATTAACGTTTGTAAAACCATTCTGACTATATAGATGATTAGATTCAATGTCACAGTATCAATATGTTTTGGAACCAGTATGTTTTGTTCTTTTGGTTTAACTGGTTTTGTATACTCCTGAACAAACCGACCCGTTAAAATCCGAGTTAGAATTAATCTTCAGTAACCCATGCTTGTCGTAAGAGGCGACTAACGGGATCGGGTGGTCAGGCTCGCTGACTGGGTTGACACATGTCATCGTATCCCAACTGCGTACATCGATGTTCATGCTGTTGATCACTGGATTGTCTGGTCAAGACTAAATTATTTACGGACTGCCGCCAAATAACTGGAATATTGATAAGTGCGGCGTAAAGCCAAACTCACTCACTCACCTGAACAAACCATCTTCGCACGAGATGCAAGTGATACCATTCTCCCTCGTTATAACGTAGATCTGGCGTGATCAGGCAATAGTTGACAAGGAATAATCATTAATTTTTTTGGTAAAGCTGGAGAAAATAATACATGTGTTTGATTTTTTGGGGGGACCTATAAAGTAATATAGTGTTTTTCCTGCGGTGTACGGGGCAGTTTAAAATATTGAAATTGTGTCAGTGTTCCCGTAAAATCAATGTCAAAAGTATATTTGCTTTTGTTTTTAATATAGAGAAGGCGTATTTTCAGAAGAGCTTTTATCAAGTATTAAACGCGGATAGGGCTGAAGTGAATTTATAAAAATTATGATAAAATATAAAATTGTATATACTGGTGAGTACAAACTAAAAAAGAAACTTTACTACATCGACGTTCCTATAAAATGGAGCCCGGATGTAAAAACCTTCAAAAAATAACATCCGTCGCTTTTTTAACCAATTACGGTATGTATCACGTGAACTGTGTGACTGATTCAGTTATCTTGTTTTATCAACCAACTATTAAATATTAGATAAGAAGTAACTCATACTGCTTCATGGGGGACGTCCGATTGAAGTATTGCTGACTCGGCAGCGTTAGTGACTGTCGGGAGTAAGTCTAGTGGACGATAACGAGGCTAGTTCACGATAACGAGGCTAATAGACCCGGGACAAATATTCGTGAGATAAACGCTGTACTTAGCCGCGGTGTTATCTGGCTCGAGTGATAAGGTCATTGGGGCATTGGTACGTTGCTTAAAGAGACACTTCTTGGTTGTTTGGGGGCGATAGGGTATCCTAATGGTCAAAGCGTTTGCTCGTCATGCCGACGATCCGGGATCGATTCCCCACATGGGTACAAGGTCTGAAGTCCATTTCTAGTGTCCCCGGTCGCAACATTGATGGAATATTGCCAAAAGCGGCGTAAAATTCAAATCACTCACTCACTCCAGAACGTTTGTTGTTTAAAGCCGCACTAAATAATGTGACGGAGGCCCAATGGTTAATGTCATGAAGCACGATTCACGACGTCGGGGTACGATGACATGGTGTCAGTCGAGCACCCATGACCACCACGTTGCCTGGAAAGGGCGTATGTTGTCTGAATCGGTTGCTAAAGTCTGTTACAAATGACCTATGGTCAACATAAACGTTTTGTAAAATCTGACATTGAACGGTGACGGTTTACATCTTCCGACCTAACAAAGATACTCAAAAACAAACAAACAAACAAAAAAACGCCAAACAAAAAGTGAGCAATCAAACACACTCATAAAAACACAGTCAACTTTTTTGAACCAGCATATATTGTCATCAGAGGTCAAACATCATATGTATACGTGATAGTGTTCTGTGTTTACGTGAGGAGCTCTCCCTCGTTATAGCGCGGCATGGTACCATATATTGTTAAATACACATCGTCGAATGCAGGATACATCAGTGTAAATGACGACGGTGTTTTGTTGTGAATATTGGCTCCAAGCATTGACGTTGCAGGTGTTCAAAAATCCCATTGCCCGATGCCCGGGACAAGTCAGTTTTCATTTCGGGCAATCAAATAATGGTATCTTACTTGTCCGTGGGCTACTAGATAATTTCCACTTATGGTTTCAAACTGCAAATAAATTTGGATTTAATTTCATATCTGCTCAAAATGTAGCTATTAAATTTTGCAATGACAATAAAGTAGAGTTATTTTTCTTTGCTATTTATCACTTTAACATCAAATACCATGTTAATTTATTCTTTCATAATTACATCATCATAATTATGTCATAAAATCAGGGCAAGTGGAAAATTAGTCAGGACAAGTTACTTTCTTAAAACTTTAACTTTCTTAAAAAAAAAAATGAACCCCTGCGTTGAGAGTAGACTTGTGGGAATGTTTTTCTTAATATTTTCTAACCGATATTCCCCTGTTCAATTTTCCAATTTTTTTGTTTGTTATTAAATGTTTATCCACGCGCTCATTGTTTACAGCAGGCGTAGTATTTAGTTCAAGTCACGTGTCGTTTCAGGTAAACATGCAGAACGGAAGTCAAAACGGCGCACAAAATGGCTGCCCTATAATCAAAACTGGCGAAGAGTTCAACCCCTACAGGAACTGGAGACGCCCAGACCTGCCCAGTCGGTGCACATACGGCAGATCGAAGGACAGCCCCCACTCCAATAAGTCATGGTAAGACATGTGCCCTCATACATTTCTTATTAGTGAATAGTTTTTTCGGGCGTAATTGTTCCCATAGAAACTTGTGACGTCATGTAAAAGGGAGACAACTTCGAAGTCATATTATTCCCTTTTTTAGGAATATGCTTAAGGATGCTTAAGGTATAATTTCATAAATCAGTTATCAGAGTCCCCATTGTTGCTGCTGCTGCAAAACGTTGCTGATGGACATCGTAGTTGACGTCCGCTGCATGTTTTGTTCTTGTACATTTAAAATGAATATTTAAAACTGATATTTAAAGCGATTACGTGCCATTTTGGCGTGACGCCAGCAATATTCCAGCAGTATCATGCCGAAAGTTATGTAACTGAATTCTCACCACGCGGACCCCTGATGATCCGGGTTAGAATTGGTCTTCGGCAACAAGCTATGGGTGAGGTGAGGTGAAATTGGATTTAACGTCGTGCTTGACAATATTTCGCTCATATGACGACGTGCATGCGTGTGTATGTGTATGTGCGGCTGTGTGTACTAGCCCAGACTTCAGCTGGTTTTATAGTGCTAGTCCACTGAGATACCATGCCGCAGTGAAGCATGAATACCCCTCTCAGACACATTATACTGACTCCGAGACAACCAGTCCTTGTTGTACCCATTAATGCCGAGCGCCAGGCAGTGACCAACAAGTACCATATTTTAACGTCTTTTGGTATGACGCGGTCGGGGATCGAACCCGCGACCTTCCGCTCTCCGGGCGGACGCTCTAACCACTACACCACGGAGGCGGTCACAAGCAATGGGACGTATGGTGATCAGGCTTGCTGGTTTTGTTAAAATATCATCGTATCCCAATTGGGTAGATCCATGTGCATGCTGTTGGTCACTAGATTGTCTTGTACAGACTCGATTATTTACAGACCGCCGCCATGTGGCTGGAATATTGCTGAGTGCGGCGTTTAACACCAAATTTATAAACAAACAAACAATAACGGTAAAGGACCCACGCCATAGAGGTTGAGTCATCCTTACGACGGTCATACGGTCATACGGACCACCCAACCAGACAATCCAGTGATCAACAGCATGAGCATCGATCTACGCAACTTGGGATACGATGACATGTGTCAACCGATACATACCGAATCTGACTACCCGACCCCTTTAGTCGCCTGTTTCGACAAGCATGGGTTGTTGAAGATCAATTCTACCCGGATCTTCACGGGTATGCTGTGACGCTGTTCAGTTAGGTCCAGAGTCCCTGATGGTTTGTAAATTGGGCGATAGTTGAATTTTTACATGGTATCCACAGCACCAGCCACTCACATATTCAAACCTGTAGTCATGTAACGGTACGAAATATACATTATTTATTTTATTCACACCAACTGTATAATTTACATACATGTCTGGCATAAGCACTGATATGAATTATGCCATATGTATTCACATCAAGTGATGAATATCTATCATTTCCCTGTGCCTCTATGAATGTATTGCAATGTTTCAAAACGCTGCAGATCAGATATATATTTTCAGCTAACAACAATTAAAGCAAAAATCTGCTCCTGCTAGTAAAACATTGGGATCCCCATAAGAGCCATTTCATAATAAATATTTCTGAATATTGAAGATTTTAAATTGAATATTAAAGAATTTATTACAGTAATCAGATTTGAAATATCATGTCTAATGAATAACATATCTTTCAACAATATAATAGCAACATATAAAGCCTTTTTCTCAATTCACGACTCTAATTTGCAAATTTCAATAATTTCAAATTAATAATTTGATATGTTGAAAAGCCATTGTACTGTGTTGATAATCTGAGACCCGTTGTATAAATATATACTACTACTTTTAAATACCAACGGGATATACCAGTGTTATTGTCCTCAAAGGTTACAATCTGATAAATCTAGATACGAATATGCGAATGATTAGGATATCCCATTAAAATGGAAGATGCTATGTTTTTTTACAGTATCATACACTCGAGATAATATCTTGCTGGATTTATCAGTGTTGTTTCACTAAAGGAATCTTATTCTGTCGAATTCTCAAATGTAGTTTTTCGTATTGAACAAATACCCTGATACGACCCAAACGTCTGTTTATTGTCGTGAAGCTCAATTAATGATTTAGATTTTAAGGCTGCTTCTATCAGTATTTCACTTTTAGAAAAGCATCACATGTTGACCTTAGCCGTGTAATGTGATATTGACTGCAACTACCGCTTGTGGTGTGAACGACGTTAAAAGGGAGACTACTCTCTGTCAGGCTGTTTAACTACTTCCGCAATATTCTGATAAACTTACACAAGAAAGTGCATGCAATTTTTGTACACGTGGCTGTATGTACAAGTCTAGACATAGGTCGGGTGTATTGAACCCACTGAGATACCATGTCGCCATTTAACATGGATAACCCATACTCAGTATACAACTCGTGAAGAACCCGGGTTAGAAATGGTCTTCAGCAACCCATGCTTGTCGTAAGAGGCGACTAACGGGATCGGGTGGTCAGGCTCGTTGACTTGGTTGACACATGTCATCATATCCCAGTTGCGTAGATCGATATTCATGCTGTTGGTCACTGGATTGTCTGGTTCAGACTCGATTATTTACGGACTGCCGCCATATAGCTGGAATATTGCCGAGCGCGGCGTTAAACAACAACCAACTCAAAACTCAGTATACTTACTTACTACCTCCTACCCACCTGTACTGCTGGATAGCATAGTGGTAAAAGTGGTTGCTCATCAAGCTGAAGGCCGGTTTCAGTTCCGCGGATGGTTACAATGTGTGAAGTCCTGTGCCCGTGATATTGCTGTAATATTGCTGGAATATTGCTAACAACTACATAAAACGAACCTCAATCAGTCCTTGCACCAGGCATGGTTATACACTGCAGGCCGCTTTGTTGTGGCTGAAATAGTCGACTACAGCGTTTACTCCCATCACGTACTCACTGCATCTTGTGTTAGCGCGCTGCCCATAAGGGCAGTTACTCTTCAAAGGGGCAGATAACTCTGATTATATACAATATTCCTGCAATGATGTTTATTTCACCACAGTCCCAAACCTGTTCGGCCGAAGATTCTCAATAGCGTGTTGGAGAACATTGCCGGCACCCCCATGATCAGAATCAACAACATCGGCAAGAGCGAGGGACTTAAATGTGAAATACGTTAGTATATGACGTGGACTGTGGTGATTGGTCTACGCTTTATGACGTTTATTTCAGGGAAAGCACTGTGTCTAGTACATGATGTAGTGTCTAATGTTTAGCATATTTACTATTTTTAGTTTTCATTTCACAGACCTAAAGAACTGATAGGTATTTTCAGTGTACCTTGGATTTTGCCCATCTTTGTTTTAGTAAATAGGAGACTCTCGTCATGTCGACTTAAGTTTTGCCAAACCTCCAATAATTGATACAGCGGTTTGTAGCTACATATTCCAAAATCTCACAAAAATTAAAGCCGACAAATTAAAGTTGACAAAACGAGACTCTATGCTGCCTTTCGTTTTCTCGCCCTTTTCGCATTTTCGTCGCATTTTCGCATTTTGTACTCATTCAAATGTGAGTGTAGCAATAAAGAGATTTAGTCCGCCTTGTCATGTAGATCTGTTGGCAGTTACCGATACCCCTTCATGTTAATCCTAATGTAATATTTCTCCATAGTTCATCAGAGTTTGTATAGAAATACATGTATCCGTGAACCGTTTAGTCTGTAATCATAAATATTGATGTTCTTTCTCTTTACAGTTGCCAAGTGTGAGTTTTTTCAGCCTGGCGGAAGTCTGAAGGACAGGATCGCACTGCGCATGATCGAAGATGCTGAGGAGAGGGGATTGATTAAACCAGGGGCGACAATCATTGAACCATCGTCCGGAAACACGGGTAGGTTGTCTCCCCTTCGTCCACATTCTGTCAAATCTGAAGCTGACGGAGAATACGTCATGGATGAAATTGTATTTGGCAATTTGAATACGACGTTGCAACTTCTAACTTAAAATCTATCCCTTTTCTCATGTCCAAGAATTAAAGGCATGAAGAATGTCGCAAAACATAATCTAACTGGACAATATATAAGTATTTAGCGGTCCGCATAATAGTATGAAGACAACAGCCATACGGCTCCGGCAATGTAACACTGGGAGTTATGTCCCTAATCATTATTAGCTTTTATGTCCCTGATATAGATCCGACTTGAGCATATCAAATATATGTGTATGGGCTTCATACATTGTACCCATGTGGGGAATTGAACCTGGTCTTCGGCGTGACGAGCGAACGCTTTAACTACTAGGCTACCCCACCGCACTTCAGGGAAAGACGGTTCCCAGTAGCGCAGATCGACGCTCATACTGTTGATCACCGGATTGTCTGGTCCAGATTCGATTTTTACAGACCGCCGCCTTATAGCTGGAATATTGCTGAGTGCGGCGTAAAACTAAAGTCACTCACTCAGGGAAAGACGACACATGGGCTGGGTGTTGGATAATTGATGAGAGATACAGGGTTGTACTGTGTATTGAGGGTTTGATCGCAAACACGGCACACAATTTTGCTGTTTTAATCCGAACACACGTAATAGTCCAAACACGGCCTAAAGACGTGGTTATGTATGGATTAAACACGTGGTGGTGAAGTCAAGAGTTATGTTCCTTACAGGTATCGGCGTTGCCATGGTGTGCGCTGTCAAAGGTTACCGGTGTATCATTGTCATGCCTCAGCGCATGAGTCTGGAGAAGGTAACGTCATTCTTCTTCTTCTTCTTCTTCTTCTTCTTTGTTCAGTCAGACATAAATTATGCCCTGAAAGCTCAGCTTCAGATACCCTATTTTATATTTTAATTTTTACTCATAAATTTCGGTGTGAAGCTTTAAAGGACAAATATCAATGATCAGTTAGCTTTGCAGAGTTGCGTCCCCTTGTTGTGCCCGTATTCCATGATTCGTCCTGACTATGATTGTTTAGAGTGTTTTACCGAAATGGGTAACATGAAAGACCTGTTTCACTTGAGGCTCCATCACCTTAACACCACGATATAATCGTAATACAGGAAAGACCAGTGTAACAACTCGTCTAAAGGCGACACTGTAAGTTCTTACGTAAATATTAATCAAAATCGAAGTACAAAATTAGCTAGCAATGTGGTATCAGATGTTATCTTCATGGGAGCTCGGTTGTTCTGATCACCTGTGTTCACCTGTGTTTACCTGTTTTCACCTGTTGTTACATGTGTTCACCTGTGTTCACGTGTGTCCCCCAGGTAGCGACGATGAAAGCCCTGGGCGCCGAAATCTACCGGACTGCTAACGGCATACCGTTTGACCAACCAGAGTCCCACGTGGGCGTGGCCAGACGGCTCATGGAGGAAATCCCTAACTCATTCCTCCTTGACCAGGTAAGCGTACGCAGGGAAAAGACAGCCACTAACCAGCCTATGTGAAAATTGCATCAGCGCTGTGCGTTACACCTTCACATGCATTTACATTAATTGAAATACATCGCAAGGCTGGTTTATTTGAAATATGTATTTATATACAACATATTGCTTCGACCACACACCCGTTTTGTGCGGACATATCGTCATCCATTTTTGGCAAGATCGTTTAGTGGAGGGTCAAAATCGGGTTTCAATCGATTTGCAGAAATAACAATAAAGAATTGGTAGGCGTCATGAGTGGTGATCGATAGGCCAATCATCCATGATTATGTTTTAATCGATTGCATGCGACGGTAGCGTAGTGATCGGCAAAGCTGCGGATGGGGAACACCAAGGTGTCCGGCCTTGTCATAATGTATTGTATTGTGAAACATTTCGAGTCGGGGGTCTTCTCAATTTTTTAATATAATTTTTTAAATCTTTAATCTTGGTAAAGACACGAGGGCCTGTGGTTGTATGTTCTGAATGATTCCGTTTAAGGTATAGTTCCTGTTAGTCCTTGCATGTGACAACAACTAACGGCAACTAACGGCCTCTGGTGATCAGACTCGCCGACCGGGTGGTCAGGCATGTCATCGGACCCAAGTCAATGATCGATGATCAATCTGTCAACCAGTGGATTGGTTATAATTGGTTAAAACAGCCCATACTTATCGTAAGAGGCGACTAACGGTTGACACATGTCATCGTATCTCGATTGTATAGATCGATGCTCATGCTTTTGATCACTGGATTGTCTGATCTAAATTTGATTGATGTCATGCAGCTGGATTATTGCGGGAATAAGCAACAAACAAACAAACAGACATCAAATCATATACTGACCACGTTAATAATGCGTTTTTAACTGACCATCTGGATGACATGTTTTAGTATCGCAACGCCAGCAACCCACTGGCTCACTACGACGGGACGGCCGAAGAGATCTTAGATGCATGTGATAGTAAGTACCATAACCTTATATTATGGATGCAAAGAAAACAGGATGTTTGAATTTCAATAACTGTACTTTCATTACCAATATCATTTTTCATATATTTTTCATGCACCCTGCATTTGAGTCTAACCTATATTATTGTTCGTAGATAAGCTGGACATGGTGGTCATTGGGACCGGCACGGGAGGCACTCTCACGGGCGTGGCCAGGAAGATTAAAGAGCGTTGCCCAAACTGTAAGGTAAGAGACAATGGTGAGGCACAATGCCGGGGTTGGAGGTGTAGAGATGTTGAAGATGAGGTTTACAGGGTTGAAGCTAATGGGTGGGTCGTTGAAGCTGAAGGGTGGAGCGTTGCAGCTTAGGGGTAGAGCGTTGAAGCTAAGGAGTGGGGTGTTGGAGCTGTGGGATGGGGAGTTGAAGCTGAGGGGTGGGTGTTGAAGCTGTGGGATGGGAGGAGTTGAAGCTGAGGGTGGAGTGAAGTTGAAGCTGTGGGATGGGAGTTGAAGCTGAGGGGTGGAGTGTTGAAGCTGTGGGATGGGGAGTTGAAGCTGAGGGGTGGAGTGTTGAAGCTGTGGGGATGAGGGGGGGAGTTGAAGCTGAGGGGTGGGGTTGAAGCTGAGGGGTAGAAGCTGAGGGGTGGAGCGTTGAAGCTGAGGGGTGGGAGTTGAAGCTGAGGGGTGGAGTGTTGAAGCTGAGGGGGAGTGTTGAAGCTGAGGGGTGGAGGGTTGAAGCTGTGGGATGGAGGTGTTGAAACTTAGGGATGGGGTGGAGAGCTTTCGGGTGGCGCGTTGAAGCTGGGGTGTTGATGCTGGGAGTGTATTGAAACTGAGGGTGAGCTGTTGAAGGTCTTGAAGCTGAGCGTTGAAGCTGAGCGGGTGGGGCGTTGAAGCTGAGGGGTGGGGTGTTGAAGCTGAGGGTAGAGTGTTGAAGCTGAGGGGTCATGTATTAAAGCTGAATGTTAAGGTGTTGAAGCTGAGGGTGAGCTGTTGAAGCTTAGGGATGTGATGTTGAAGCTTAGGGATGTGATGTTGAAGCTGAGTGGTGGGGTGTTGATGCTGAGTGGTGGGGTGTTGAAGCTGAGGGGTAATGTGTTAAAGTTGAATGTTAAGGTGTTGAATCCAAGAAATGTGGTGTTGAAGGTGAGGAGTGGGTTGCTGACACCTGGAAGTGCATGTAGGGTCTAATGGTGCACTTTAGCAGGCCTTCGCGAGCCTTCTGCATAATGAGTGTTGTTTCTGTGTTGACAGATAGTAGCGGTGGATCCCGAGGGTTCGTTGATAGCTGAACCAGCTGAGTTGAACCAGAAGGGAAAGAAGTTTGAGGTTGAAGGGATCGGGAAGGATTTCGTCCCAACAGCATGTGACAGACAGGTCAGTTAAACACCCTCGATAGGGGCCGTTTGTAAACCAAGGGTAGCCATGTCAATAGCATACATAAACAACAATTCAATTTTGTGGCCTTTAATGAATTCATAATTTCATAATTACAAAACATTTGGTAAATCAGCAACGACCTATGAGGATTAACAGCTAAACTGCTCATAGTAAGTAAAAGATTATAGCCGTACTAGATTCGAAAAAATGCATGAATAACATGTCAAAATCGATCTTTTGCGTTGATGATGTAACGTCATTACCTGTTACGTTTTGAAGAGAGAACAGTATGACGTCATGTTATTGACAACCAATCAGCTTTGAGAACGACTATAGCGCGGGTGGTTGATATTTGTGTTTATTCCCCAGTTTGTAGATAAGTGGTACAAGGCGGCAGACAAGGAGTCATTCCAGATGGCTCGTAGGATCGTCAGAGAAGAAGGACTTCTTGTAGGTGAGTCACAGTCACACTCTGACTGCATTCCCAACGATGGCTGTCTCAAGTATGAACAATAAGCCATGCCACATCCTCAAAGATTTGTTCTGTCAGCAGATATTCAGAATGGTATTTCGAAGAACAAAAAGAATGAACAGATAAGTGTCCAAAACGGACGTAATATACAAGTGATGGAATTATACAATTCTTTTATATTGCTGACGGTAATCTGTATTATTTATTGTATTGTTGAATACAATAAAATTCTTGTCTTGTCTTGTCTTATCGTAACAGATTAACATAATGTGAACAAAATCGGTTGACCCGTTTTCACTAAAGAAACCTACTTGTATAAAGTGTTATACGAGTTGTAAGAGTTGTCTACATGTTGTACACGTTATGGATGCTGCTCTCCTAATGTACAATTCATACATGTTTTCACGGTGTGTACAAGTTATCAATGTGATTCAAGTGGTGTACAAATTATAAATGTTATCCACGTGGTGTACAAGTTATAAATGCTGCTTTCCTAATGTACAAGTTTTAAATGGAAGTGTTTCGCGTGGTGTTCAAGGTATAACTGTGATTCATGTGATGTACAAGTTATACATGTGTTTCACTTTGGGTACAAGTTGTATAAATGGTGTTCCAGGCGGGAGCAGTGGCACAGCTCTACACTACGGCATCCAAGCAATGAAGGACTTCGGTTTGAAGGAAGGGCAGAGATGTGTCGTCATCTTCGTCGACTCCATCAGGAACTACATGTAAGTTGGCTACAATGGTGAGACCTGTCGGCATACATTGGATGAACCATGTACACTCTAATACACGGGTCCTGATGGGTGAGAAAACAAAATTCTTCTTCTGTAGACACATTGATGCTATGTACAAAAACACTGAGGTGTTCACCTTGGTAGTCTCTAGGATAAACTTCTGTAGACACACTGATCCTGTCCAACCACACTGAGGTGTTCACCTTATTAGTCTCTAGGATAAACTTCTGTAGACAAACTGATCCTCTGTACAACCATACTGAGGTGTTCAACTTGTTAGTCTCTAGGATACAACTTCTGTAGACACACTGATCCTCTGTCCAACCACACTGAGGTGTTCACCTTGTTAGTCTCTAGGATACAACTTCTGGAGACAAACTGATCCTCTGTACAACCATACTGGGGTGTTCAACTTGTTAGTCTCTAGGATACAACTTCTGTAGACACACTGATCCTCTGTCCAACCACACTGAGGTGTTCAACTTATTAGTCTCTAGGATACAACTTCTGGAGACAAACTGATCTCTGTCCAACCACACTGAGGTGTTCAACTTGTTAGTCTCTAGGATACAACTTCTGGAGACAAACTGATCCTCTGTCCAACCACACTGAGGTGTTCAACTTGTTAGTCTCTAGGATACAACTTCTGTAGACACACTGATCCTCTGTCCAACCACACTGAGGTGTTCAACTTGTTAGTCTCTAGGATACAACTTCTGGAGACAAACTGATCCTCTGTCCAACCACACTGAGGTGTTCAACTTATTAGTCTCTAGGATACAACTTCTGTAGACAAACTGATCCTCTGTCCAACCACACTGAGGTGTTCACCTTGTTAGTCTCTAGGATACAACTTCTGTAGACACATTGATTCTCTGTACAACCATACTGAGGTGTTCAACTTGTTAGTCTCTAGGATACAACTTCTGTAGACACATTGATTCTCTGTACAACCATACTGAGGTGTTCAACTTATTAGTCTCTAGGATACAACTTCTGTAGACACATTGATCCTCTGTACAACCACACTGAGGTGTTCAACTTGTTAGTCTCTAGGATACAACTTCTGTAGACACACTGATCCTCTGTCCAACCACAGTCCGATTTCCTCTTGCAGGACGCGCTTTCTCAATGATGATTGGATGGCGGAGAGGGGCTACCTGGAGGATGAAGAGGAAGAACCCAGCAAGTAGACAGGTGAAGTTTAATGTAGTTTTAGTTTGTTAAACGCTGGTTCAACTATATGATTATGGACAAGAGTCACCAGTGCTTGGTATTGGTGCTGTAACAATGCTATCGATGGATCGATGGATTGCGATTGTTGAGTCTCCGATAGCAATTAATCAATGGTAGAAACGAAAAACATCGATGCATCGATAGTATGTGTGACTATCGATAGTTAAGTAATTGACTTCCGTTGATGAAAGCGCAGCGCAAAATACAGAAAGTACCAGATTCGTTCTCTTTGATTTAGAGTTATCCGCCCCTGCTACCTCTTAAACGAACATGGCGGCAAACACGGCTTTGAAATTGTGAATCACAATAAGTTTATGTTTTAACTGTTTACTTGATCTGGGTTTCAAGTTTCTTATCAGTTATTAAAAGAGACTGAGCCTACTTCAGCTTGTTTTTATTTCCTATAAACTATACTTTCATTTGGAAAATGAGTTCAAATGAGACAATTCCAAGAGAAAACAAATACTGTAATAGTTGGTTGCAATAGACTATCGCTATCGCAATAGTTATTTCCTCCTCAATAGCCACCCCTACTTGTTATGGCATGCTACGATAGACGCCGTGCTCAGACGAATAAAACATATGAATCAAAAGGTGTGAACTATGTTTTCGTTCTGTTCCAGGCAATGGAAGATTAGATCGGCTTTTATCAGTACTATTGTGACGTCAATTGCAAGAGATACACACATGACGTCATCCGACGTCTCTACGGGGAAATGACGTCACAAAAGACTGGTGGAAGCCAACCCGGTGTATATAATGTATAGGTGACATCATTTCCCACACAAGTGCGTGCTCATGTTGTTCAAAGTTCAACTCCATACATGTTAATATTACAACAAGCTCCACGTCCCACTAAATCGCATGTATTGGCACCACCTAGCGGCAATGCCATGAAACACTGCACGCCACGTGACAGTAACAAAATGGCCACCACTGTCAGACATGCAAATAACATAGGCTCTGTGTATATTGAGAGGTTTCTTTTTATTGTCAGTATTTCAATAGAAACTCAAGTATTTAGAAGGAATGTTTATAACTGATGGTGTTGTATTGCCCAGTGATTGTTTCGAGCATTAATACAGCAATGTCGATTTATTAACAGTCCAGAGCAAAGGTTACATAGAGTAGGGTAGTATAGCTTGTTTGTTGAGTCCAATACATAGATATCTGAAGCACAAAAATATGACCTGTGGAAATGCATGTTTTGAATTTTGAATGTGTACATTTTGTAGAAAATTTGTGAGTCAAATCAGTCTGAAAATAAAATATTTAATTCACATGAACGTTCGTTATATATTTTATGAGCATGAACATCGCGCAGGTTGTATTGGTAAATGTGTGAGTGTAGTTTTGAATGTATCTCGCTAATACCATGCAGTGTCAGGAGGAGGGAATCAAGATGTGAGTGAGTGAGTTTAGTTTTACGCCACACCCAGCAATATTTTAGCTATATGGCGGCGGTCTGTAAATAATCGAGTCTGGACCAGACAATCCAGTGATCAACATCATGAGCACACAAATCCTCATACAGAGGATTAAGGACACAGTTAAATGCAGGGTCAGACTTGTTAGAATAAAGTTTTGTTATATATTGCAAGGACAATTTTATACGGCGTTGTGTAAGAGATGGCTCATCGGCCTCAACACAGAGGCTGTCAACAGGAGAAGTTCTAAAGGATCCAAGACATAGTCTTAGACCTTGGTGGTGGATGGAATCTAATAGTTTTAGGTTGCTTTTGCAGGCTCCACCATATACGATGGAGCCATAATCAAGCTTCGAGCAAACCAATGATCTATATAGGCGTAGGAAGGTAGTTTGATCCCCTCCCGACTTTGACTTAGAAACTACTTTCAATAAATCTTGTGCTTTCAGGCTGCTATTTTTAAGGATTTTTGATATGGGGAAGAAAAGTTAAATGGGACCAATAACTTGGCCTCCTTTACAACTTTGATGGGAGTGCCGTCTAAAATTAGTTCTGGGTCCTTATGTGGCTTATATCTTCTACAGAAGTGTAGACAATTAGTTTTTTGACTTAGAAAATTTAAAGCCGTTTTCAAGACACCATTTATTAATTTTATTTAAACATAACTACAGTTGCCGTTCAATAGTATGCATATTTTTACCACGGCAAGAAATATTAAAATTATCCACAAAAAGTGATCCATCGATTAAATCGTTTAAAACCTTGAATAAACTATTGCTCTTAATACTAAACAAAATACTGCCTTGTGGGACACCCTGATCCTGATTATGGTCAGACCGGGTTAAACCCAGTCGGACTTGACATTGCCTGTCGGTTAAAAACTGTGATATAAAAAGAGGTAAACGACCCCACAAACCAAAATCATATAAATCCTTTAAAATGCCATGCTTCCGGGTGGTACGCTCTCTCAAGATCAAAGAATATCGATACTGCATGTTGTTTATTTACTATAGCATTTTTAACAAAGGAATCTAGATGTACCAGATGATCAGTGGTACTACGATTTTTCCTGAAACCACATTGAATATTTATTTGTACTAAGGTTATTGGTTTCAAGATGCCATGTTAATCTATTATTTACCATTCGTTTCATGGTTTTACAAACACAACTCGTTAAAGAGATTGGTCTGTAATTGGATGGATCAGTATGATCCCGGCCGGGCTTTGGAATAGGGACTACAATGGCATTACGCCAGAAAGCTGGGAAATTCCCTGAAGTCCATATTGAATCAAAAATATTTAGCAACGTTTCCAGACATGATTCGGGCAAATGGTTCAGGAGCTGATAGTGGATATCGTCAGCCCCTGTTGCTGTATCATGAGCCTGCTCAAGGGCGGTATGTAGCTCATGTAGTGAAAATAATTCATTATAAACTTCACCATTGTCAGAGTTAAAATTTAAACTTTTCTTCTCCTGTTGTTTCTGAAACTTTTGAAACTCAGGGACATAATTTGATGAAGATGAATGCTTGGCGAGAGTTTCACCAAGTTTATTGGCAATGTCAGATTTATTAGTTAATAAATTACCACCATCCTTCAGATGGTGAACAGTAGATTTAGAACCTTTGCCCTTTAGTCTTTGAATCATGTTCCACACCTTTGACATAGGTGTGCGTGAATTTATTTTAGAAACATAAGTTCACCAAGACTGACGCTTATTTTGTTTAAAAAAAGCCTTGGCATTTAAAATTTTAACTTTGTCTAGATTATGTACGGTAGGATGTCGGCGAAACTACTTTTCAGCTTTCTTCCTACACTTTCTGGCCTGTTAACATCCATTATTGAACCATGGCTTACGAATATGAGGAACTGCAGAGAACTTGGGTGTAGTTTGGTCAGCAATGTCATTCAGTAAATCGGAAAACAACTGTATAGGATCTTCACTGTTCGCAAATACATCATGTTTTAAGTGAGCAGCACATAGTGTCTCATATAATGACCAATCAGCCCTGGCGAAGTTCCTTCTCGATAAAGGTGGATGATCACCAGGGTTGATTGTTTTGAGAATGGTGGGAAAGTGATCACTCCCACATAGGTCATCATGGACCATCCATTCAAATTCATTATACAAGTTGGAATCGGCGAGTGACAGATCCAGGGAAAATATGTTCCCGTAGCTGGATGTAGATAAGTGGCTTAATATTCATTAAAAATACATAAATTATTATCGGAAATAAATTCCTCAAGGATTTTACCTTTAGTATTGGTGTGGACACTTCCCCAAAGCGGGTTGTGTCCGTTAAGATCGCCCATGATAACACATGGCTTAGGAAGTTGCTCGTACAGATTTTGAAGATCTGCCTCACGGATTTTAGAAGAGGGGGGAATATGCAAGCTGCACAATGTCAGGCGAACAGCAACAGTTTGAAGATTCGTATTTAGAGAAATAGGGCTATGTATGACGCTCTGATGAACCAAAATAGAAGCGTTATCTGTATTTTTAAGATATGTCTCTTGGAGACAGGCTGCTGACGGGTGATGATCTTGTACGAGTAATTGTATCTCGTTGAAGTTATTTTTAAGCCCTCTGCAGTTCCACTGAATTATATTGTCCAATTGACTCATGGTACCTCAATTGGCGATCTCTCACGAGAATGTGAGGGGCGTAAGCCCCTCCGCTTGTCCCTGTGAGTACAGTCACCTCCATGTCTAGAGGCCCGAAAGTGTTCTCTAGAGGAACCTCTGAAGGTAAAGGGATGGCAGTTGTTTCTTTCCGATTTAATTTTTTCCTTTCTTCTGTTTTAATGGATCGATGGCTGGCTGTGACGTAGCTAGTTGTGAATCAGTCGATTGTGATGTCTCAGGCCGAATTTTTGTCTGAGACCCAGACGACGACAGAGTGATTGGGGCAGTAGGTTTTTTGGTGGGGAAGTTGGTTTGTTAGTTGAGAAGACTGGATTTTCTGGCACGATATAGATGCTGTTGCCACAGATCGAGATACTGCAGCAGAGTAGGATATCATCGATGGTGTTGTTGTTTGTGTATTAAAAAGGTTCTTTGCCTTTAGGTAGGAAATATTATTTTGGCATTTCAATTTCATAATTTTGGATTCCTTTTGCCATACGGGGCACGGCTTTGATGATGCAACATGTGAGCCGTTACAATTACAGCATCGCAGTTCTTTCTGACAGTCTGAGCCATCGTGGTTGTCACCACAACGATGGCAAACCACAGAGTTCCGACATGAGTTGGGACCATGGCCGAATCGTTGACATTTGTAGCATCGGAGTGGAGTGGGGACATACACCTCCACTACGATATTGAAATAGCCCGCTTTGATTGTTTCAGGAAGCGATGAACGCGCAGATGTCATTAAATAGGTGTTGGTATTCAGAATAACACCTTTTTTGACGGTGAAACGTTTTACTGCAGTTACTGCCTGTTCCTTCAGCTCCGCAGCAATTTCTTCTTCCGACATGTCAGACAGGCAACGCCTAGAGCCGTCTCGACAGACAACGCCTCGACGTGAATTTAATGTCCTGTGCACAGACACAGCAACCTCAGTGTTAGCAAATATTTTGATATAACAGATTAAGAGATTGCTGTTTCCGTGCACATTCCATCAGAAGTGAACCACTACCGAGTCGGGTGACGTTCTTAACTTCACCACAAATACCAGCAACAGCCTTAGATATGGCAAAAGGGTTTAAGTATATTTGAAGAAAATCCGTAGCCTCAATCACGAGGAAACGAGACAGGAATCGGCGTTTGGAAAGGTTTCTTGAATAATCATCAACAGCTTCGAAACGTGTTCTCATTTCGTTTCTAGAGGAACCAGATGGTTTGGGATCCATAATGAACGGAAATAGGTTCGACACCCCTGCTCCCCATCCACCACGGAATATCACCACGGGGTTGGGGGAGTTGAAGAGCTGCGTTACCCAGTACCCGCGACGGGGAGGTGGCTCTTCACGGGTGCCCTCCATGCACAGACGCTGTGCTGCAGTTATTGCTGCTCCTGGTGGTGCCACTAGATACTGAAGTCAAGGGTCTGAATGGACTCCAAACTTTCACGTAATGTCTCGGAATTGTGCTGAGTTATTCATCGATGTGTCAAGATATTGTACACAAAAAAATAGTTTTGATCCGCTTAAATTGTCCATTTCTGTAATGATCTGATTACAGTGCCTATCTAATTTTGAATTCGTACTGACGGTATTTTGCTGCTAAGTACATAATAGCGTTGGTGACAGTAATATAGTCATGTTCATATGACAGTAAAAATGGTCACTCTTCCCAAAGAGGCCCGACATCCAGAATGAAGAAATCCAGGGTGAAGACATCCAGTGAGGAGACTTCCACGGAGAAAACATCCAGGGTGAAGACATCCACGGAGAAAACATCCAGGGTGAAGAAATCCAGGGTGAAGACATCCACGGAGAAAGACATCCAGGGTGAAAACATCTGGGTGAAGACACCCAGGCTGAAAACATCAGGGGTGAAGGAATTCAGGGTGAAGACATCCAGGGTGAAGATATCCAGGGTGAAGACATCAAGGGTCAAGGAATTCAGGGTGAAGACATAAGGGTGAAGACATCCAAGGTGAAGACATCCAGGGTGAAGACATCCAGGGTGAAATCCAGGGTGAAGACATCCAGGGTGAAATCAAGGGTGAATACATCCACGTTGAAAACATCCAAGGTGAAGACATCCGGGGTGAAGACATCCAGGGTGAAGACACCCAGGGTGAATGCATCCAGTGCATCCCAGGTAAATACATACAGAGTGAAGACATCAAGGGTGAAAACATCCGGGTGAAGACACCCAGGCTGAAAACATCCAATGTGAAGGGATTCAGGATGACGACATCAAGGGTGAAGACATCCAGGGTGAAGACATCCAGGGTGAAGACATCCAGAGTGAAGGCATCCAGGGTGAAGACATCCAGGGTGAAGTTAACCCAAGGTGAAGACACCCAGGATGAAGACACCAATGATGAAGACACGAGGGTGAAGATATTTAGGATGAAGTTAACCCAGGGTGAAGACATTTAAGGTGAAGATATACAGGGTGAAGACACCCAGGGTGAAAACATCCAGGGTGAATATATACAGGGAAAGACACCAAGGATGAACACACCAGGGTGAAGACAACCAGGCTTAAGACATCCAGAGTGAAGGCATCCAGGGTGAAGACACACATGGTGAAGACATCCAGGATGAAGACACCCAGGGTGAAGATATCTAGGATGAAGACACCCAGGGTGAAGGCATACAGGGTGTAGACATCCACGATAAATACATCCAGGAAGGAGACACCTAGTGTAAAGACATCCAAGTTAATGATATCCAGTGTGAAGACATCTATGATGAAGACATATACAGTGGAGACATACAGGGTGAAGACATCCAGAGTGAAGACATCCAGGGTGAAGATACCAAGGGTGAAGACATCCAGGGTGAAGACATAGATTATTTATGCTACACTAAATTAACATGTAAGTCTATGGATGTTGCGTCAAGTGTCCGAATACTTTTTGCACGACTCTGTACTTTGTGGATATTTCATACCGATCTCCTGAGAAACTTGTATGTCACTGTTTAGGAACTTTTGTTACACGTTAATAAAGTAATACATAGGAGACGCGTCGTCCTCCCTTCAAACAACACTGCCATGTTCCCAAAATTTTCAAAGTAAACTTTAAACTTACCAGATTTTTTAGACGTAGTATTTTTGTTATTTTAAATTTCAGCTTAATCTTCCTACCATCGCCAGCGGCTGAAGGGCTGGTGACAATCCAACTAGGGTCCATGTAGGTAGTAAAGGTACTGTAGGTCCCCATGGTCCCAAGTATGGTGATCTAACTCTAACCTGTAACTCGTATGTTATATTGTGTTGTCCCAACTAGTCACATAATTTTAAAGTTAAATGCTTGTTTTAATACCTCAAATTGTGATATTTTACTGTCCTGTGTTGACAGATTTTATGATTTAATATTGTCTATTGTTAATGCATTACCTGCTTTAGTCACGATATGGCTGAAATACTGCCTATGTGGCTATAACTTTTAACTCCTCACTTACACTGCCAAGTGTCAGTATTTGCTTGACTCAAATCCTTACTCTTGATATCACATGTTGCTGGCAACACTCATCAGAATCACTGCCATGTGTCAGTATTTGCTTGACTCTAATCCTTACTCTTGATATCACATGTTGCTGGCAACACTCATCAGAATCACTGCCATGTGTCAATATTTGCTTGACTCAAATCCTTACTCTTGATATCACATGTTGCTGGCAACACTCATCAGAATCTCTGTAACATATACACCTGGCCCTTAGCAAATTAACACCCCAACGTGGATAAGTCACCGTTTTGAGACAGACATGTACTCCGAGAGTTCCCTATCAAAATGCACTATTCGCAGACGTAGGGCTGATGGTTTTTCATCACGACAGCATCTGAAACGAGTCAGTTTGACAACCACCCACTACGTCCTCGTCCAATCTTTACGGGTGACTATTCTAGACTCTAATTCCCTTCTGGTTAGGAGAGTGTGAATGGCCGGAAACCAGCGACAGCATCCGGACAACCAGTGTACGCTCGCGCTGTGGAGAGTTTCCCCTGCCATTACAGAAGAGGGCCTGGTTAGTCATCGCTGTGGGGAACTTGAATGCTGCGTGGCAAACGGCCTTTCGTCACCACTCGCCCCTATCCGTAAAATCCCCGAATAACACGAGTGGGTAAACGACAACTATGTTGAGCCCTAGTTATCCGGCTACATTGAAGATTGTCTCGACTGTAGGCTCGTCCACGCATTTCCCGGTGATACAGACTAATACGTAAGTGTTGACGAATTTTTAATCATCACTATATCACTATGAAAGGCCTGGATGATCTAGAGTTAGGACTGAGGGTATATCAATATACATTCAGTGAAGGTGGCTGTGGTAACCAGTCGAGTGGGAACAAAGTCAGGAATAACTGACAGGATGTTATTAGATCGCGTTTGTAAACAAATGACCAAATTCAACACAAGGAATACATTAAGGAACACTGCATCTAAAATTGTTTTTACAAATTTCCACATGCATTTGTAATCGTTCTCACACATTAGTACAAGTGAAATAGGACCAGTCTGACATCAATTTACATTACTTCCTCGTCCGTTGTTTAACATGTAGAACTGAACTTCAACTCTCCTTCTTTGAATCTCCTCGAAATTTCAACTTTCAACACGAGACCCACGTGTTCATGGCAGACCTACCAACCTTAGCATATAAGCATTTGCTATGGATGAAAATAAACCGATCAAGTATGTTCTCAATATACGTTTACTGACGGCAGTGTTTACTTGGGATATAACGAAGTGTTGTGGCACAATGGAAAATGTTTCTTAAGCAATAACATCAACCGGCGCCGTTTTTTTCATGAAATGTTTAATCCTTTGCGAAGAACTTAGCATCACAGTATTTCATAATATCTCAGGGGAAAAGTTATTTCATGTTCGTTTCCAGTACACAGCAAACCGATGTACTGAATGTATGTAAGCAATAATTCATGTTTGCTTAAACTAATATACAGCACCTTCAAAGTCGAGGCTAAACATTAGCGATCTTTCACTATTTTTATAGCTTCATTATAATTCGTTTCCTTTTGATACATGTGGAAAGGAAGACGTAATGAAACCTGTGAATGTGAGATCGCTTTCACAACACCTGAAATGGGCTTCACAAATTATACCCATGAGGAGAATCGAACCCGAGTCCTCAGAGAGACGAGCGAACGTTTTAACCATCAGGCTACCCCACCGCCCCCTTGAAGTTATAGAAAAAAGGCGAGTGGTGACGAATACAGTCACCCTATTGATGAATGTTATGTGCGAAAATACGACAAACAAATGCTGCAGGTAAGGAATAAAGTAGAGGAACGGTAGGGCACCTCCGAACTATGACCATCCCATAGAAGGGATCGAGCTGTAAGTACAACTTTATATCACTGGAATGCTCTGGACGAGAGAAATTAATCTAATTTATGCCCAAATAATACATTCATCACAATTATCACCCTCATGGGCTCAGGGAATTCATTGATGTTGGAATGACAGTCTGAATTGGTTTAACTGCTAAAGCATCCACAAGAATTATTTTTGTTCAACAAATATGTGACAGACAATATCTGTTACTGCAGAACTATCTAGTATAATTAAATATATGTCACAATTGCCGATACGTTTGTATTAATCAACTAGAATATATAACTCAGCAGTTATAAGAAGAAGAGAACTACTACAAGTCAAAGGGTTGTATAGTCAAGTCAAGTCAAAAGAGTTTATAGTATTTCAGGCCTCCGGCCCACATACAAATATACATTTGTAAATAATATACAATATACAGGTAATATACAATACATATAATGGAGGGAACAAAATGAGAGGCTATTGTAAGATTTGTGTACAGGAAGCCAAACACACCACCCCTTCTGCATCAAATGTCACCTGCTTTATGAGTGGTCACAGTCTTCATGTGGAAATATACCGCACTAAACACTGAAGAAACATAGTCAGATTCAAATATTGGATAGACGCATGTTTACAAAATACATGAAAATATTATGCAACATCATCCAATCACAGTTGCTGGAGGACTCAGTCTGTACTAAGGTCTCTGTACGATCTCAACTGAGGAACAACTCATTGTCTGAGTGGTAAACCTGTAGTAAGTCAAATCTACAATAGGGGGCAATTACATAGATTGTTTATAGTCAGCTACTTAGACAAGTCATGAAAACATCAACACTAAGGGGTAATTGCATAGAATGTTTATAGACAGCTACCTACTTAGACAAGTCATGAAAACATGTACACAAGGGGGTAATTACATAGATTGTTTATACTTAGCTACTAAGACAAGTCATGAAAACATGTACAGAAGAGGGCAGTTGCATAGATTGTGTATATTCAGCTACTTAGACAAGTCATGAAAATATCAACACTAAGGGGTAATTGCATAGATTGTTTATAGTCAGCTACTTAGACAGGTCATAAAAAGATGTACACAAAGGGGTAATCGCATAGATTGTTTATAGTCAGCTACTTACACAAGACATCAAAACATCAACACTAAGGGGTAATTGCATAGATTGTTTATAGTGAGCTACCTAGACAAGTCATGTAAACAACAACACCAAGTGGTAACTGCATAGATTGTTTATAGTCAGCTACTTAGACAAGTCATGAAAATATGTACACAAGGGGTTAATCGCATAGATTGTTTATAGTCAGCTACTTAGACAAGTCATGAAAACATCAACACTAAGGCGTAATTGCATAGAATGTTTATAGACAGCTAACTACTTAGACAAGTCATGAAAACATGTACACAAGGGGGTAATTACATAGATTGTTTATACTTAGCTACTTAGACAAGTCGTGAAAACATGTACAGAAGAGGGCAGTTGCATAGATTGTGTATATTCAGCTACTTAGACAAGTCATGAAAATATCAACACTAAGGAGTAATTGCATAGATTGTTTATAGTCAGCTACTTAGACTAGTCATGAAAACATGTACACTAAAGGGTAATTGCATAGATTGTTTATACTGAGCTACTTAGACAAGTCATGGAAACATCAACGCTAAGTGACAATTGCATAGATTGTTTATAGTCAGCTACTTAGACAAGTCATGAAAACATCAACACTAAGGGGTAATTGCATAGATTCTTTATAGTCAGCTACTTAGACAAGTCATCAAAAGATGTACACAAAGGGGTAATCGCATAGATTGTTTATAGTCAGCTACTTACACAAGACATCAAAACATCAACACTAAGGGGTAATTGCATAGATTGTTTATAGTGAGCTACTTAGACAAGTCATGGAAACATCAACACTAAGGGACAATTGCATAGATTCTTTATAGTCAGCTACTTAGACAAGTCATGAAAACATGTACACTAAGGGGTCATTGCAAAGATTGTTTATAGTCAGCTACTTAGACAAGTCATGAAAAAATGTACACAAGGGGGTAATCGCATAGATTGTTTATAG